GGGGGGGGGGGGGGGAGAATCACAATATCTAACCCTGGTGGTGTATGTGAAACCAAATCCTTATCTGCCTATGGCTCCTGTTGGGGTCTACAGCACAAGTGCCTGAATCCTGGACAGAGCTGAAAATGAGCCTGAGGCAGCAACTCCATTCTCTTCACGCTCAACCCAGACAGATGAGGACCCAAAGTGCTAAGTGCATATTTCAAGCATATGTTCGCAATATGTTTAAAGCCACAGTAAATTATAAAAGGCAAATTCACAGATACCCTTTGAGACTGATTATAATCATTATCGTGGTATTTCACCTTCCCTTCCCACCCCCAAAAAAGTTTTTGGATGCTATAGAAAATAGATCTTGATATACATTTTGAAACTCCCACTATAAAATTACTATCTTAAGTCTATAAAGATTCAAGTATGTTTTCATGAAGTAGGTGAAAGGGTAATCTCTGTTCTTTCCAGAGGACTATATCTGCACCAGGCTTCCCTGGCAGGACTTCATCAACGGCACAGTTATACATCAAAATCCTTCAGCTCTCCCCAGCTGGCACCTATTTTCACTTTCACCTTCAGTGTCACAGAAAGTTTGACAGCACTTTCCATTTCATTCTTGACAATCTGAGCTACCTACAAAAACAAACAAGAAAAAAAAGATGAGGTTAACAAACCCTCTGCCCAATCAAAGAAATGTTTCCCAACCCACCCACTGAGAAGGTCATAAACCAGACTAAAGCTTTTCATCCAGTGGTGCTTAAAATGCTAAATGAGAAAAGAGCCAAGCACCTCAAACTGCTCTTCGCTGATTAGCAGCCTTACTTAGAATGCTTGGAGCTTGAAAACCCTCAGGGCAAGGCTCCAAATTCTTGTTTAATTTCTCCCAGACAAAAATATTCCTGCATCAGAAACTTCTTTAAGAATGAAACTGAAGGGCCGGCCCAGTGGCGCACTGGAGAGTGCGCTGGTTGGGAGCGCGGTGGTGCTCCCGCCAAGGGTTCGGATCCCATGTGGAGACCGGTTCCCGCTCACTGGCTGAGCGCAGTGCGGGCGCAACACCGAGGGTTGCGATCCCGTTGCCGGTCAGTAAAAAAGACAAAAAGGAAAAAAAAAAAAGAATGAAACTGAATACTCTTATCTCCTTTTTTTTTTCTTTTTTTTTTTACCTGTAAGAACTTAACATTTATACCGCCATCCTGGGGCTAGGGTAGGTTCCAAAAACCTTAGGCATGGAGAAAGCAGCTGACCTACAGTCATAACTTCCTAAGGAACTGACACAAACACTGCAAAAATACCTGAACAACATCCTCTTCTGCCACTTCATATAAGAGTTCATCATGGAGTTGAAGGATGAAGAAGCCTCCTCTGATTGGGCAGAACATCCCCTGCAGTTTTCTCTTTGGTAACAATCCTACCCCAGGAAAAACAGCAAAACTGATCAGCATGTCACTGTACCACAGCAGAATGTTTTCAGAGACTGAGAAACTCTGAGAAATTTTAATTAAGAGATTAAAACACATAAGAGACTTAGAACTATCAGGAAAACAACTACTTGCCGGCTGCTACCCAACCTACCCATCACGTAAACTCAAGTCCCTATCAACTTTCTCCCAAAGAGGAGGAGTCTAACAAAGAAGTCAGCAAGTGGGGTATGAAGAACTCTGCTCCAAACTCATTTAACTTCTTTGCCATAAACAACCAACACTTTCTCTTTCCATGGAGTCCCCTTACCACTATCTGAGTACTAACGCCAGGGTGCTATGGGGCCTGATTCCTGTTCCAGGAAAGTGAACTAGTATGTTAGGCAGTGATTTACAAGGGAGACACTCCTTAATGTCTTTTTATGGCTGCAAGTGTCACTGTGGTAGAATTGGTACTTCCCCAATGGGACAATACACTCTAGACAGGGTTTAGACGTAGGGTCCAAATGTGAACTTTCACAGTGTCTGTAAATCCCTTAAAGTTATATGTAAGAGTCTTATATCTGCACCTTTTTCTGTGGAGATGATCCATACTTTCCAGTAAATTCTCAAAAGAACCCATGACCACAAAAATGGTGAAGAACCATTTACTTTTAACTAAGACCATACTAGTCTTAGTTACCATTTCCTAACTAAGATAAGGCTCAGCATGAACACTTTAGAGTAAGTGCCCTTCCGTGTTCCCCATACCTCACAGCACTCCTTCCTTTCTGCCATCCAGATTTCCTACTTATCCTTCAAGCCCAGCACAAGTACTATCTCCCTCATATCTGTGCTTCCCTCAGAGAAAATTCTGTAACTCACTGCCTGCAGCCCAAGTTTGCTCAGAGGTGGCTCTCACAGGGTAAGAGAACAAAGGCAGCCGAGGCTGTGGCAAGCAGCTTCCATACCAGCGCTGCAGAGGCTGCACATCTGTTTGCCAGTTTGGCTGAAATCCAAAGTGCCCTATTAGGCCCCACTTATCTCAAATCATCGACCGTCTGGATGCTCTAGCTTTTCTGCTTTCTGATTACGTTACCTGTGTCTTCTTGATTTCTCTTCATTACCTGCTTCTCACCAGAATGCTAGGATCCTCTTGTTCCCTGTGTTGTCTGCTTCCTCAGGCTCACCTCCCTTTGATCCCACTGGCCTAGCACTACCTTTACCCAAGCATTACAGCATGAAGCCATCCTCAGTGACATATCCATATTGCCTTCTACTTGCACTTAAAGCTGTTATTGTCCATCTCATTCTGACACCCAGCACTCTGCTCTGTGGAATTATGTCAACATTTCAGCCAGGTATCATATCTTCCTGTCTTTCTTTAGTAGATTTTTAATTTAAACATAGGTTGATAACTCTAAGTTCTAAATCCCCTAAAGCACACACCACAGTGTTAGTCTGCAAGTAAATTTGATTGTACATTCTGCTCTACAAATATAAATGTGTGTGTATAAACACATATCCCTACACACAAAGTACTTAATAAACAGCCTCTGGTTTTTTTTTTTCCCCCTGACCAGTAAGGGGATCGCAACCCTTGGCACGGTGTGGTCTGCACCGCGCTCAGCCAGTGAGCACACCGGCCATCCCTATATAGGATCCAAACCTGCAGCCTCAGCGCTCCCAGCGCTGCACTCTCCCGAGTGAGCCACGGGGCCGGCCCAGCCTCTGGTATTTTGAGGGGGATTGAAGACAATAAGATTAACAGTTCTCATTTAATGAAGAAAAAGTTTTATATCTATATTTCTGTATGTAAGTGAGCATCTTTATATCCATGTAACTGGCTGTATTATTCTCTATGATGTATGTATAATAAATATATATAGATAGTACATATACATATATATATATATGTATTATATATATTATATATATAATACATATATATATATATGTATTATATATATAATACATATATATATAATAATGTATGGCTATACTATTCTCTGTAACTATACATATGTCTCTTTTGGAAACAGCAAATCCCATCCTCAATAGCTGACCTCTATCTTTTCTGCTGCATTTCCGGCAGCTTATTCTTCCCTGTATGTCCAAAACCTTCTTAAATTCTTCCCAGGAAAATTTAAAACATGGCTGCAGTCATGGTTTTAATATTCTCAGTGACAGTGAAATGGTATTTAAAGCAAAGTGTGGATGTGTGACAGAAGAGAAAAAGGGAAAGTTCTGTGTACTTGTTAGAACAAGAAACAATTTACCCAGGCAATAAGGAGAGAACTGAGGCAAAGATGGCAGTACTGGCAAAGAAGCCTGTGTGATAAGGAGGTCAATTTGGCGTATATTCCCAGACTTCAGACAATACTGAAGGTCATAAAAAGGAAAATCAACATGTTCTTAAAGTGTGGTCTAGGGACCGGAGAGGATCCCCAAATCTGCAAAGTCAAAATTACTTCCATAATAACACGACAAGGTTATTTGCCTTCTTTGGTCTCATTCTCTCATAAGTACATAGCAAGGTGACCAAGTGCCCTGGTTTTAGAACTGAAATTCCCATGTCCTGGGAAACCCAACACTCTCCTGCAAATTGGCATATGTGTCATCCTAGATTGCAAGAAGAGTCTTGCAGAGGTTACAGGACATGTGACATTGTAACAGAGTGAGTGCAGAAGCAGGTAGAAGAATCTAGCTGTCTTCTCATCAGCCAGACATTAAAGAGATTTGTAGAAATGTAAAATAAAGCCATCCATCACTAATTGCCTTTTATTCTAAAAGATACAATCATTTTCATAAAAATAAGTTACTTACATTAAAATATAGTGGGTTTATTATTGTTATTTTAAATATTAATGTTTTAAAATCTCCTGTTTTGATTTCTAATATGGTAAATATAGTAGATATAACCCACATGAACAAAAGTCTAAGGGTATAAAAAAATTTCTAAGAGTATAAAGACATCACAAGACCAAAACATTTGAAAACTGCCAAGAAATAAAATATAATACTTTCCCTTTTCTTTTCTGATACAATTATTCTCACCATGTTATAGGAGTGGCCTCACCTATGAACACACCTGTTCTGTCATTTTGGAGCATACTCTCTCGATGACTGTGGGATTTGAAGGTTGAGTGGAAGGTCTCTAATTGCTTCTGGATGTTAACAGTGGCTATTTTGATAATATCAGCTGCCGATCCTTGGACTCTTGTGTTGATAGCCTGACGCTCAGCCTATGGAAAGCAATTAACAGGTGCTCCATCAGATACACCAACATGGGTTCAAACCGCCCTTTAGTGTCCACAGGTCAGTGCTCAGATCTGCAGCCAGACTGGAAATCTGTACTGAGATGTGACCCAGGACATCAACTATTATGCTGCATATCCTAAGAAAAACAACTTTAATAATCCAGGGCTCTAGATTCTGGGCTATCCACATGAAGAAAGACTAAATATAAAGTCAGATTTGCTTCAGTTTAGAAATCTTTAATACTCAGTTAGGACCCACAACTGCATTGCACTTAGAATGGATTTAGTAGCTCAAAATTATTTTATTCTATAAACATATATCATCTGTGGTCCAGCTGTTCTAAACTTCACTCTAAAGGATCTATTCCAACTTCCAGTCAAGATGACAGAATAGATGGTCCCCAGCGTCACTCTCTCCCACAAATCAACGAATTTACAACTATAAAAATGTAACATCAGCCAAGCTGGGGCTGCTGAAGCTCAGGTGAAGAGGAGGAGAGACCTATGGAACTCATGAAGGCGGGAGAAACCATGAAGAGAGAAAGAAAAAACTTCTCTCAGTGTTTCGGGCTACAGCCGCTTTAATGCTGGAGCGCATGGAGCAGGGGCCAGCAAAAGCTGCAGCTGTGCCCTTTAGATGGAATTACTTGGAGGCAGAAGGGGAGAAGAGGACTTTGGTGGTCCCCAGGATAGCAAGACCACTCACTAACAGGGTTCCCGTGGACCCACGCAGGAGCAAAGAGCCAGAACAGCTGAAAAAGGGGAGCCACTCAGAGGCTGGTGAGTCATCACAAGGGAGTGGCGCAGGGTCCGTCCCACGGGAAGTGTTTGGAGCACAGGCAGTGGGGGAGAAGGGCCCACCAGGAGAACACTGGGACACAGCAAGGACAGCCGATCTGCCCCACAATCAGTGCAGGATGACTCGGAGGAGACTGGTCGGGAATGTAGAATTGCATGGGGTGAAGTTTGATGAAAAAACTCAGACCCAGATCAGAGCTTCTACACAACCTAGGTGCACTGAGTATCTGGAGAGCCAGAAGTACCTATAAGGTCAACCATTAAACCCTAAGCTGCACAAAAAGTCTTCCCTAGGGAAACAGCAGCAAAGCAGCAATTTCCCTCAACCACACAGCTCAAGTACTGGTTCCCACAGGAAGTTCCCCTGGGTTAGAAGCAAAGGACAAAAACTTAGTTCCAGCCCAGGCACACCATGAATGCCTTGGGGCCCACCAGGGCACATGAGGCATGGAGCCAGAGGCAGGACCCCACCCACAACCACTCACACCACCAGCACCTCAGGGCCCCACCCAGAACTCAAGGATTGGAGCCAAGGACCGGACCCCACTCCCACATACAGGCATACCACCAATGCCTAGGGGCCTGCCCGGGGACCCAGAGCTAGCAGCCAGGGACCAGACCCCCTTCCCACAACCAGGCATGCCGTGACAGTGCCTAAGGGAACATCCAGGGACCCAAGGCATGGAGAATGGGACCAGGCCCCCCGCCCACAACCAGGTTGACCATACCAGTGCCTTGGGGCCCGCCCAGGGACCCGGGATAAGGAGCTGGGATGGGACCCACCCTCCCACAACCAGGCATGCCAGGACAGCACATCAGGCGAAGGTGACCAAACCTCCCTCCCACAATCAGGCACACCTTGCCAGCACTTCGGGATCTGCTTAGGGACCTGGGGACCGAACCCCCCCCACACAACCAGGCATGATGGGACAGGGGCCCAAGACATGGAGAAGGGGACTGGACCCCCCTCCCACAACCAGGCACCCCAATGCCAATACCCCAGGGACGCAGGGTATGGAGCCAGGGACCAGACCCCCCTCCCACAACCACATACCCCATGCCAGCACCTCAGGGCCTTCCCTGGGACCTGGGGCATAGAGAAGGGGACTGGACCCACCTCCCACAACCAGGCACACTGCGCCAGAGCCTTGGGGTTCCACGCTGGGACATGGGGCATGGAGGAGACTGAACCTGCCTCCCACAACCAGGCACACTGTGCCAGTGCCTCGGGGCCTGCTTGGGGACCTGGGGAATGGAGAAGGGGACTGGACCCACTTCCCACAACCAGGCACCCCATGCCAGCGCCCCAGGGCCCACACAGGGACACAGGGTATGGAGGCGGGGACTGGACCCCTGTCCCACAACAGGCACACTATGCCAGTGCCTCCGGACCCACCTAGGGACCCAGGGTAAGGAGCTGGGAACTGGACCCCCCCTCCCACAACCAGGCACACCATACCAGTACCTCAGGACCCACTTGGGGACCTGGGGTATGGAACCAGGGACCAGACACTCTCCACAACCAGACACACTTCCAGCACCACGGAGCAGTCCAAAAACATCTCCTCCATGTGGTGGCCCACCACAGCCACCACAATAACCATGGCTTCCATGAAGGCAACTAGATGCCACAACCACCACACAGATGGTCCGCCAGACACTGGAGTGAGTTGACACAAGGAGAGTCACCAGCAGAGATAAAGACAGGAGGAGGATGTCTGTCTCCACACAGCCCATTTTATTGTGACAGAAGAAAGAGACATCTGCTCTATGATAGTATTGGGGGACCTGATCACACCTCTCAGCATTGGACAGATCATTTAGGCAGCAAATCAACAGCATAATCATTATTCTTTCAGAGGGAGAGAAGAAATCTAGGGTGATTAGAGCGGGGAGGGAGAGAAAGGGGGATGAGGAGGGATTGGACAAGGGGCAAAAAGAATAATTACAATTTGTAACAATATATATGCTAGTAATATTGATTTGATCAACATATCTCAGTGTTGAACCCCAAAAAGATGTATAATCAATTTTAATTCAATAAAAATTTAATAATAAATAAATATCAAAAAATAAAGGATCTATTCCTCAAAATACTTTTAATCCTAAATAGATATAAGTAGAATATCATTCTTTGTAATGTGGGTTGAAATGTCCTAAGCACATCCCCCATACCAATGGCCTCTTGGTTGTATGCAGAGTTTGGCCCCAGCAGATCTGGAGCCCTCTAATATGAATCAGAGCTTCTTGGGCACTGCTGAGGCTAACCATTAGCTGCTAGTGAAAATGCAGATTCCTGAATCCCGGGTATTAAGTTAGAACTTCCCTGAAACTACTGCTGCCAAGAGCTTCTTGGCAATCAACCATGGCTGCTAAAAATAATCATCCTGGGACACTAGGAAAGGGGGTCTGGATTAATATCCAACTGTACTCTGTACATGACTATCACTGCTAGTGCCCCCAAATGTCTAAGAAACTGCAAAGTGTCTACTCAAGGGAGGGGATCAATGTAACTTGAGAGGTATTCTTGAGTTCCCTGTCACCTGAGCTACACTCAATTTCTAGTATATTAAATACCTGCTAAAAGAGACAGACTTTTTATTTTTTTATTTTTATCTTCTTTTTCCTTTTTGTCTTTTTTACTGACCGGCAACGGGATCGCAACCCTCAGTGCTGCGCCTGCACCGCGCTCAGCCAGTGAGCGGGAACCGGTCTCCACATGGGATCCGAACCCTCGGCGGGAGCACCGCTGTGCTCCCAAGCGGCGCACTCTCCAGTGCGCCACCAGGCCGGCCTGAGACAGACTTTTTAAAAAGCAACTGTTGTTTTGTCAAATGCCGATGAATCCACTGTAAACCCACTCAGTTGTCTCTGTTTCAACTGACTGAATTTCAGAGTTATACTGACTCCTCTTCCTTCCTGAAACTCTATGCCTTTGTGAACTAGACTATATTATTGTTGCTATTACTTGCTGCCTTTCTATTGTAGCATTACACAGACTTACCCACTGCCATATGATTTGAAATGTTGTTCCATGTAAAAGGATAGCCTTGATTTGTTTTGGCCGATGAAGTTTTAAGATCTACCCAACACTGCCACACACACAAAAAGGCAAATCCCAGAAAGGGACTTTTCCTTCATTCTGTATTCCACAATGAAGAAAATATGTAACAAAGCTACAGTTAACCAGAGCCAAACTCTAACATGAATGAGAAATAAAGTTTCTTGTTACAAGCCACTAAAATTTGGGGGTTGTTTTACTGTAACATAAGCAAGCAAAAATACGACTAATATCTACTTCACTCTGATTCTCTTTCAAACTAAGAAAACTTGACAGTCCTGGCTTTGGGTCTCACAAAGCTCAACTTCTTTGTCATCAAGGCTTTTCATGTACATAAAAAAAACAGGCTTCTAGTAATAAAAGATTAGGCCATTAGGACCAACCCTCACACTGATAATATCTCAACCAGAAAAGCTAGAGAGTAATGCCTCTTTGAATGAATGAGACAGCTAAAAAAAAAAAAGGAAGTGAAGAATTATAGAAACTAGAGATCTAGGAGAGAAAAGAAACCAAGAAAAGTGATCCTGGCATTGGAGGCCAACATTTCTCCCAGTGCAACCAACAGATTCCAGAAGCAGCAGCAGAGATACTGAAAAGCTGAGCAGATCTTCTGATAGTCTTGAGGGGCTTGGGGATCAAACATTTGGGTTCAGGGACTAGCAAATGGAAGGAGGCCCAAAACCAAGTTGTAACCCAACCTGCAACCCAAAAACCAACACCCTAGGGAAAAAGATAAACTGGAAATAGTCTAGCCCTAACAGCCTTGCTGATAGGGATATCATCTTCATCCCTAAATAGGATCAAAGTAATCCTACACTGTTGATCATTCTAGTTTCCTGCAAGAAGCAAAGGTAAATTTCCTCTCTGAATAAAAGTATCATCATACAAGCTTCGAATTACTTCCACAATCTTTCATATACAATGCTTAATATTCAATAACAAATAGCCAGGACAACAAAGAGTTGAGAACATAAACCATTTCTATAGAAAACTAAGAAAAACAAAAGGCAGAAAGAACAGACTATGGGGATAGAAGTATGAGATTTATCAGACTATAAACTATAGACTTACTAGACTACGGACTATTATCAAACTTACTAGACATAAAGTCACCATGTTTTATACA